ATAATAACCAGTAACCAGTTAAGTTGTCTTTTGTTCGGACAAGAAATATAGTTCCAACTTAGTATTTTAATTGTTTAAAGTTCTCAGTGGAAAGCAAACTACTTAATTCCGAGGATAAAAATGAAAATAAAACTTGCAACTGTAAAACAGGAAAGTGATGTTGTAAAGCAATTGTAAAGCAATTTGATGAAGTAAAGCAAACGGATATAGCAAAGCAATCATAGAGCAAATGGATGTGGTAAAGCAATCATAGAGCAAGGGAATGTTGTAAAGCAACCATAGAGCAAGTGGATGTTGTAAAGCAATCATAGAGCAAGTGGATGTTGTAAAGCAATCATAGAGCAAGTGGATGTTGTAAAGCAATCATAGAGCAAGTGGATGTTGTAAAGCAATCATAGAGCAAGTGGATGTTGTAAAGCAATCATAGAGCAAGTGGATGTTGTAAAGCAATCATAGAGCAAGTGGATGCTGTAAAGCAATCATAGAGCAAGGGGTTGTTGTAAAGCAATCATAGAGCAAGTGGTTGTTGTGAAGCAATCATAGAGCAAGTGAATGCTGTAAAGCAATCATAGAGCAGATGGATGCTGTAAAGCAATTATAGAGCAAGTGGTTGTTGTAAAGCAATAGTGCAAGTGGTTGTTGTAAAGCAATCATAGAGCAAATGGATGTTGTAAAGCAATCATAGAGCAAATGGATGTTGTAAAGCAATTATAGAGCAAGTGGTTGTTGTAAAGCAAACGCTAAGTGCAAGGCGAGTGTAAAGCAAGTAGAGCAAGTGGATGTTGTAAAGAAATCATAGAGCAAGTGGTTGTTGTAAAGCAATCATAAAGAAACTGGTGGTTGTAAAGCAATCATAGAGCAAGCGGATGTAGTAAAGCCATCATATAGCAAGTGGATGTTGTAAAGCAATCATAGAGCAAGCGGATGTAGTAAAGCCATCATAGAGCAAGTGGTTGTTGTAAAGCAATCATAGAGCAAATGGATGTTGTAAAGCAATCATAGAGCAGATGGATGCTGTAAAGCAATCATAGAGCAAGTGGATGTTGTAAAGCAATCATAGGGCAATTGGATGTTGTAAAACAATCATAGAGCAAATGGTTGTTGTAAAGCAATCATTGAGAAAGTGGATGTTTAAAGCAACCATAGAGCAAGGGAATGCTGTAAAGCAATCATAGATAAAGTGGTTGTTGTAAAGAAATCATAGAGCAAGTGGTTGTTGTAAAGCAATCATAAGGCAAGTGAATGTTGTAAAGCAATCATAGATAAAGTGGTTGTTGTAAAGCAATCATAGATAAAGTGGCTGTTGTGAAGCATTCATAAAGAAACTGGTTGTTGTAAAGCAATCATAGAGCAAGTGGATGTTGTAAAGCAATCATAGAGCAAGTGGTTGTTGTAAAGCTTACATAGAGCAAGTGGATGTTGTAAAGCAATCATAGAGCAAGTGGATGTTGTAAAGTGCTAAGTGCAAGGCGAGTGTAAAGCAAGTAGAGCAAGAGCAGTAATTGTGGAACAGCTGGCTTTGTTATTGACAGACACTTCAAAGCCGAATCCAACGCGGCTCTCGGCGAAGCTCTCATATCCACTAGCTCTCCTTAATGAGGTGTTTTCCAATTGCCTCTTTCTCTCCAATATTCTCTATTTGTCTGCCTAATTCAAACCCAGAGTATTATTTTTTAGAATCTCATTCTCTCTTTGTTCTGTTTCTGTATGCTGTGAAAATAAAGCTGTTAATAACCAACCTGTTAATTTTACCAACCAAAGCTGTTTTAATGTTTTGTAAGACCAAGAAAAGTTTCACGAAGAAAAAAGTTTGCTTATTGTTTGACTTCAAACCATAAACCGTAATAATTATACATCTATTGTTAAAAAATAACTCTCGTTTCAAGGTATGTTAATATTATGAAAGATTTTAACAAATCAGGCTACTTGAAACGGGTGGGCATTAATTGCACCAACTGACCTGAGTCAGGTAGTCGGGTATTCCTGAATTGCGCCAACTACTCCAGGGAGCTACTTGTTACGTTTATTAACTGCACCAAGTAGCGGCTCTCTTTGACTGTATAATTGAGTGGGTTAGGTCAGGTTGAGTTGGGTTAGGTTATGGTTAGGATGACACTTGCAAGGACATCGTTCTGCCAGCAACTCACCCCTACCTGGGCTTGGCGCAATTAAGGAACTCTTTGGCACTTAATGTACGACCGTCGAAACCACGACATGTTGTTAAATAACAATTTTTTCAAACTGCAATCACCAATTAAAACCCATTTAGGGTAATTTACTTTATGTCACTGGGTAACCGAGTAATCAGAAGTAGGCTGAAGACCACCAGTTAGGTTTTGAAAAGTCAGTAGCTTATGGTTCGGAACTGGATCCGGCTAGGTCTAGATCCTTAAACGTCGTGTCCTGGATGAAGAATCAGCTGGGCAGTAACAAATCTGTAATCCAATTCGTTCAACACTAACCCTTATTCAACATTAATATTGTAAAAAATTAATAAATAACTTCTATAACGATTTATTGTTTACAATATCTTTCTTCGAACACAATTTTAAGCTCGACATTCACTAATGTTACCTTTTCCGTTATAATTATTATTTATATTGTATCTTTAACATCATTACGTCCCCCCCTCCCTTGATAATAGCATCACAACAATGGGGTCTCAAACAGTTGCACTAAACACTGACATATACACTCCAGTCACGACCCCCCCCCCCTTTTAACAGACTGCAGGTATCTTAGTCACGAGTCAGGTCACGCGCCCTCAGAGGGGGGGGAGGGGGGGCTCACCAGTAATTCTCTACAGTTTATCCCTCCACTTGAGAAATCAAGATGAAAGTTACACTTGATTTCCGAGTTCTAAGTAAAAAAAGATTGTAGTTAAAACCGTGCATTATTCCAGATGTTCTTTGAATATGTATTGGGTTAAAAATATTAGTGAATAGTTATTAACACGAATATTAGAACTGAAACTGTATGGGTCACAAACATAAATACATGACGTCACTAGCCCGATTGTCTATATGCTAATTGATGTTACAGCTGGTTTGTACGTTTTTTACAGTTTCTTTAAATATCAATGAAACATGTTTAGTTTGGGGCCAGTGACGTTGTTTGTGTTTAAGATCCATACCATTCCTGTTCTAATATTCTTTGTTAGTAATAAAGTTCATTTGTTACTTGAAAATGCGATTATAAACCTTTGATTTTGAGTATAATTAGATTTTAATCAATAATTTTGTTAGTATTTCTTTTAAATTCCACTCCCTGAAGTTAAATTTCACATTACAACGAACAGCATACTATTGGTAACATAACATATATATATTGACCACTGTATTGTTTTAAGCCAAATAATATAATGCCGAGAGTATTAAATTAAGATTATAAACATAAAATTAATCCAGGAAAAATTCACACCTGATATCTTAATTTTGCATTTATAATAGCTAATATCTTTATGACATCTACATAAATATTTCATCCAAACGGTGTGTTACAAATATTTAACTCTAAAACCAAACGCCATTCTACGTTAAGAATATATTTTACTAATGTCAGCATAGACAAATAAGTAGCTTTCTACCCATTTTAAACATATATGTAAAACTTTCATGTTTTTTTCTTAATGATGGTCAAGCCATTAGGTTTCTTTCTATCAATAGAAACTTATTAATTTAAATTAATGTCTTACTTAAAATGAATGTAACCATGTTTAACTAACTCGTTCCACAAGGGGTTTACAGTGTCTATGTAAGACGCCTAGTTTATTAAGACATTCTATAATCTCGTCACCTCATGGGACTAAACTGACGTTGTACATATTACGTTATATTGCAACTTCATTCCACATCATACGTTACAATGTTACACGTTTTTAATTGATCACGTTCATCCTGGATTATCCTGTCGCTTTCGATTTATGTATGTTGAAAATTTACCATTTGCGTGTGTTCAAGCGTATATTTTGGATCTTTAACATGTTTACATACACTTTTAACGTATTTTCCATGCTGATATTTTTAAATGTATTGAAGTAAACGCGTCTTGTTAATTTTATAGCTCTAAAACTAGCTTAAGAATGAAAATTAAGTAATTTAATTTGACCCTTGAAATTCACTGCTGATTATTACTGATTTCTTTTGTACACCCCTATTTTTAAACCAATCCAAATTAATAGGTAACTTATTAAAGTGTATTGCATCTTTTATGCCATTTTAATTATTAAAATACTCAAAACTAGGAGAAGAAATAGAATGTTGATAATATGGCCTGTATGATTGAATCCAACTCCTGGCCCTTGCCTATCTTGGACTTCCCCGATCTTTAGCCATCATCCAGTTCCAGATATTCAGAGGGTCAGGTGACAGGTTCCGTCACACAGAACTATTAATAACCATCTTTTAAGGCCAAAAGGGATTCTAATTAATTGATAATTTAAGCATATGTGTTTTGTGAATGAGTAGTAATAAATTGTTGCAAATGAATTTGTTACCTACTAATTAACGTCATACTGCATACTGTTAATATCAGTGAAAAAAAATTGAACTTAAAATCCTGCAAAACATGTTTATTAAAATGTGATAATTAATTATGAAAACAACAAAAGCATATTAATATGATTAATTTGTATTTGCCTTTCGCGTAATCAGTATTTTGTTTCTAAATACTGAATGCTAAATACTTTTGAGAGTTTCAAGCTTGATCTCCATCATCATCAAATATATGTACTGCTGTATAATACAATCATCCAAAGTAATAATCCACAATATCCATTTCCGTTCGGCAATCTGAGGGTAAAAATTACCGAAAATGCATTTTCATACATATACACTCCAAGGTCAAGCACGCCTTCTTACTCTATGCACCTGCCATTAATCATACGGGCGCGACACAGAGTAATCAGATGGTAGTTGCGCACGCGCTCGACGCGACACCTCGCGGCATGGCCCGGCACTACGCGTCGTCTGCAACCAGCCCAGTCCCGCTCACCATCTCTTCCAGTGCGGTCGGTGATCGGTGTTTCTTTCCCATCTGTTCGTCTTTTTTGTTCTTCCGCCTTTCGTCGTTAAGTGTAACCGAAGGACCGTGTATTCTTTACGTATCCCACAACGTGTAGCATAACACCTAGGTGATTGTCGATAGGATTGGATCGAGTTATTGGAGCTTTTGTTTTACTGTTCTTTGTCTGGAGTGAGAATAGGTTTTCTTTATTTTGTTTGTTTGGTAACAAACTGGTTCATTATTGGTTTTTATATTGTTAAGCAAAACATAAATGTTGAAGATGTTAAATAACACATACATCTAAAAATTCAGAAACATTGAGTCTAGCACAATAACATAGTTTTCTCAACAGATCTTTTATTGAGACCTATCTAACCTATTTTCAATTTGCATTAAATATGATATCTCTTTTGTTTACCAAACGTTACCTTGAAACTAAAAGCAGTAACCTCTTTGACATACAATAAGGAATAAGGCTACTTATTTTTCCTTTTTTAACATAAAGTTTTAAGTAAATATTTTTCAATAGAAGCCAGATTGAAGCAAAGGGTTTCATGCAAAAGGCGAGATAAAACGACCGCTTAAATGAATAAATATGAGGTTCCGCTTATTGCAAAATCAATACAGACCGTCAGCCTGACCTAACCTCACCATTGCGGTATCTTTAACCTACTCCCTTGTGTTTGAATAATCGTTAACTTCCTAACCCCTTTTTGACTTGCCTTAATTCCCATATTCGTCATTTAAACCACGTGCAACCCGGTGATAAATATAAATAACTATCTTAACCTCAAAAACAATAATTACTTTCAAATGCATATTTGTAAATCAATATTAATCCAGCTATAACTTATTGTTCAACTCAATTACCCATACAGAGCTAAATGTGTACGAATCTTTATGATTAATTATTCATGTGATCATCTAGTTTGAAGCATTATAGGCCTAATTGCAGACATGGGTGTTTGGAACTAGTATCAAGCTTTAATTCTTATGCTATAACGACACCATTTCCTCGGAGTAGAGTAGATAATATATGTTAAAACGGAGTGTAGGGGTCTCGGCCACTGGTCGTAAATTCGGGGCCATATTTATATAATCTAACCTAACCTAACCAAACCAAACTTCTATATGCGGATTAAGGCCTGAGGGAGCCGGTTCTCCGTTTCCCGTTAAAACGATCTGCAACTTACTAATCTATCGGTTGACCTACTGACCTCAATGTTCAAACTATCCCTTAACCAACCCAATGCTTACCATTAATCCTCTGTCTAATGTTCAAACTATCCTTACTGATCCCCTTGCCTAAACTAACATCCATTCAGACTGGCGTATTTCTTAATCATCGACCTATTAACCTAGTGATTTTTAACACTTGACCTACTAAAGTCAATAGTTAATCTACCCCTTACTTGCTGTAACAAATGTTTAAAATATATATTATTCCTTCACCCATACTTTTAAACTATTGCTGATCCTAATGGTTAAACTGTCATTAATAGGTCTTATTTTTCAAACTGTCATTGCTAACCTGAACGTCAATAACATCATTAATCTTTTGTCCCCGATGTTCGAAATATCATTGCTAATAACAATGTAAAACCTATCATTAATATTTGAAACCTAATGACCAACTATTTTTACTACTGTATTCACAATGCTAGGGTTACTAGCATTATTTTTTGACCCGACTGTTCAAATTATCTTTGCTAATCACAATGAATGTCATCATTAATATTTTTACCCTAATGCTAAAACTATCTTTAATTATTACAATGTATAAACTATCATTAATCTTTTTACCTTAATGTTTAAATTATCTTTGCTAATCACAATGAATACACTATCATTAATATTTTTACCCTAATGCTTAAACTATCTTTACTTATTACGATGTATAAACTATCATTAATCTTTTGACCTTAATGTTTAAATTATCTTTGCTAATGATAATGAATAAACTATCATTAATCTTTTGCCAGTTTTGCCCCTAATGTTCAAACTATCTTTACTTATTACGATGCTTGTGCCATCAGTAATCCTATGACCCGAATCCTCTAACTATTGTTTCTCATATCAATATTCAAATCATAATTAATTAAATATTGATAACTTATACGATCAGTTCTTAAAGTATCATCAATCATCAGACCAAATTGTTCAAATATAGTTTTTGGCTGCACTTTACTTTAGGTCCTACACTCATTTGAATGAAAATATCGATTTTTCGATTGTTTTATTCGATATATCGTTTGGTTAGTTAGGTTAGGTTAACCTTACCTAACTATCCAAACGATATTACTTATTGAATAGTCGATATATCGATCGATATTTTCATTCGAATGTGTGTAGGACCTAAAGTCAGGTGTAGCCTAGTTTTCTAACTGTAATGTTTTAACAGTTGTTCACTTTTAGGTACTTATCCTAGTGTGTGTCCCTGACATTCCTAATCAGTAAGCTAATTTTAATGTTTCAACTATTATCAACGCCCTGATCTGGATGATTCTGACCTTCTCTTTATTTTCTGATCGATCCCGATTTTCAAAACTCAACTTATACCTAATTTTCTACCTAATGTTAACTAGATTAACTAAGCCCAATGTGTTTGCTACCCTTCGTAAATGATATGTTTAAATCATCTCAGTATTTTCCTTCAATTTCAGACCACAAGTAAATTGTGATATTTCAGCAGACACAATTAATCCCACAGAAATATAGGAGTTTCGCTGAACACTAGGTAAAATACATCCAGGGGCAATCCCATATAGCTAAGGGTAAAGGGTAAAAATACATATAGGTACTAAATGTTAAAGGGTTACAAATTTACTCTAGTAAGTGAAAGCACAATGTTCACACTCTAGCACCCTTTAAATTGAACAGTAAAACAAAAACAGCTGTAAATATATACTTTTCCCGCAGTACCTTGAGTGCTATGCTCCACTAGCTCCGTGGAAATCAAGGGATCAAGCTCACAGTTCCTACGTCAATTGACCAACAAGCAATGTCTGGCCTAAGTACACGCCCAGTTAGGCCGTAGGCCCACCGCAAGTGTCTTAATGTCGCAAATAATGCTTTGCTCCCTGGCGGGGGACTCGAACGTCAACGTCAGTGATACCAACAACAACCGCAACAATGCCACCGAGGAAGACGATATATTCCCCATACCCACTATATACCGGTGAGTTGGCAGCAATGTCTGTAGTTTCTATTGGTTCATGTAGTCTGTATGATGAAACCTGTCTCCTGGCTGGCCTACCTGGGATGCTCCGAGCATTAACCATTGGCCAGTCACAAAGTAAACAGGGTGGGCAGACAGGTTCCATCATACAGACTATAATATTATGCAGTGTTTTGATAGAGTGGGAGTATTGATAAATTATTATTGAGTGTGTTCATCTTTTTACCTCTTACCTTTTTTGTGGGATTAATATTTTTCTAATAGAGTGTCTTCATTGTGTAACCCTTAATATTTCCTATTTCTTAAACAGTTTTAATTCATTTGCTTTCATATTTTTTTCTATTTGTATAGTTTATCTCTCGGCATTAAGTATATTGATTGGTAAATACCATTGTATTTGTATACTGTTTTGTCCTATTGTAATATATTTACTGGTTTTCATGATTGATCCAAGTCCAACTAAGAACTTTAACAGCCACTGGGGCAGAGCCCAAGGGACTTTTTCAAAAATGTAAGGTCAGTTTGCAAATCGACGCGACACGCTCTTTCCAATGAGACGACAATGGATAAAATCGGTTAAGAAATTGCGGAGAAGTTCAACCGACAAAGTTTCATGTAGCGTATTAATTATATAAATTGGTTTAATCTCAAATAAAGAAAACACATTTAACTGGTTCTTAAGTACATATAAAATCAACGTGAATAAGTTACATCAAGAATTGGAACAAATGTGAACATAATTCAAACGATACAATTGCGGAAGAGAATGGCAGGATTTGAATCCCGGTCACTAGGCAGAGCGCCAGCCATCTTTGTATCCTGTATGGAGATTTATTTGAAATTTACATTTGAACATAACTGCCTCGATAAAAAACATTTCATTTTATCATGGATTTTATGTAAAGATTTTCTGATTTATGATTTCTGATTTTGCTATTGAAGAATACATATTATCTTTATCTAACAACATTTTTCAAATTGGAATTTTCTAGAGTTTTAATAAAGTAATGTCCCAGACCTTTAGTATTCAATAGTCAATGCTTTCCAATAGTCAATAATTTAATATTTAGTATGCATAGCGTAATAACCAAATATCAACATATTCACAGACAATATTTTAATATAAATTGTTGTGATTATTTTATATCCATTTTTGTTTGTGATTATGACTATTACATGTACATGCCTAATGGAAAATATAGAATGTCATTTAATTTTCATTGATCAGTATACAAGATTCAATTATTTCAGCTGAATCAGCTTTTCCTGGTGTATTATAATTTTCTAATTTAATCTAAACAACTTCTTGGTTAGTTCTTAAGAGTTTTGCTTTTAAAAGTATTTATCATCCATTTGTTTTTGCATCGATTATTTAATTGAACATACAATATTTCTTAAGCCAGCCACAAACTAGTAAAACTCGGTTCATCAACGTTAATTTATCTTAAAACTGGATATAAATTAAAACAAAATCCAGCCTCTAACAAAACTGTAAGGTACTGACTCACTAATGGCAGCTTTGCTCAAACCAAGCAGTATTATTTTAAGTTCTGCTTCATTTGGCAAAGCGGTATAAATTTTGATATTTTTATGCTTAGGAAACCACAGCCCTTATTATTTTAAGAATAGACAATTTGTGTTTTCTTAAGTTTTTGTAAATGTTTTTATTCTTAGAAAAACTTTTTTTGCTGAGCGTTAACTGATTAGAGTTGAAAAGAATATTAAGATGCTGAAACACCTCCTCCTAATTAGATGTTTGATTTGAAAGTACCTAATTGGATACAACTAAATATTCTAATTAGCGTCTGAATCTCAATGACCTAAAGTAATTAGATGGTATCTTTGTTGAAGAACCTCTTTAATTATCTGCTACAACAAGAGTCTCTCTAACCTGTTAGAGAACTCTGATATGAATTGTCCAAGAATAAAATTATGAAGCAGGAAAATTTGACGGAATACACTTACCTTTTATGTTAAGGTGATTTTATAGAATTGTATTCAGAAATAAAGTGTTCAGTGATGAACGATTTGATAGAAAGTGGTCAGTGATTGTAATTTAAAATTGTTGGAAGATGTAAGATTCAGGCATGAAGTGTTTACAAGGTACATAAGAGATCGTGTTCTAAGTATAATTTCATTAGGGCTTAAGGAGTACACTGCCCAAGAAATCGGTGCCCTGACAATAAATGTTAAAGGGTGAAGTCTTTTTGAAGGGTGGTCTATTGAATAAAGCGTTCAAGAGAAAGAGTGTGTCATGGGTCAAGTGTTCAGGAATGAAGTGTTTAAGGATTAAATGAAGGGGATTAATTCTTCGTGAAGAGTTTATGACATTTTGTATAAGATTAAAAGGTTGAGGCATAATTTTCGTCAGGAATGAGTGATGAAATGGTATCTGTGAGCCGTTAGACCTTTGTAATTCATAGTTAAATAACAATAAAAACGTACTAATAATATACTGGATCCGAAAAATTGCCAAAGTAGGTAAATGAATATGTCTCCAATATTTTAATCGGGATAGAAATACATCCACCCCACCCCATCACACACAAAACATAACACAACATTTCCACTCTCTTTACGTTCTGACCTGAAAACGGGGTCAGATTCCAGACTCCACACGTCGTGAAAACTTGGATTTTACAAATCGTGATAGACAATTTCCGCTATAATCTGTTAGATAATACATCCAATCTGCTAAAAAAAGCTACTAAGCCAAATAATTTATTGTCCTACTAATTTCGGCAGTACAGCTGCATGAAAGGAGCGATTGTCTAAGCAGAGTTGGCAGTGTGTTTGTCTGTGTGAGCCAAGCCTTGTTTATTGTGTCGTACACTGGTGTTTCCCATCCTGCCTTGGAACAATCTAACAATATAATTTACTGTTAATTTTGTATTTGGTTCATCATTGATCTATTTATAGTTACTCTTGACTCCTGTAATATTTAGTTCCTATCTTGGAATAGCATCTCAATTTTATCAAAAGTTTAAATTTTTACGACCTCAGTGTCTTCAGTGGAATTGTCAAAATGTTTCAGGAGTTTTCAATTTTTAAACACTTTTAAGGGAGAGCTTTCGAAACTTTATAATTTCTGTGTATATGGATATGGTTTTAGTCCGTCCCATCTTGCACCGAAATACCTAATACACAATAATATACAATCAGCCAACAATACTAGCGTCTTCAATCCCAACCTTCAAACACCTTCTCTACTTTCTAACAGTGAAATTCTGACAGATTTTTCTTCGAGAACAATTCTCTAAACCCAAATATGTCCTCCGTAGAGTATTATCAAACTTTTGATCAAAGGCCGTTTGTATCGGCTAATATTGTAAGATTTTATTTATTGTTTAGAATGTGTTATATATTTAACTGTGTTTTGCTAGCTTGGTATGGTACGTTTTAGAGTTAATCAAAATATATTACGTCTTCTAACCCAGAGGTAGGCGCATAACTTTAAGAGAGGTGGTCCATTGCCCATTCCCATGCGTCTCATAAAATGCGCGTGGAAGAGACCAAGCAAAGCATGACAAGAATGGACCATACCGATCAATTTGATTTTTAGTGATAGGGTAGTTCAGGGTTGTACGCAAAAAATGTTGATTTGGTTATAATAAAATTGTTTTAAATAATTTTCGCTTGTGACATGAAAGTGCTAAATGAGGTAAATGATCGTGTCGATGAATTCCTTTTATACTTTTACTAATAATGTAGTCATTTCACTTTAAAATCTCAAAACATTGAGCACAGAAAATATTTAATAACACCCGAACCATGCTCCGTCCATTAGGGAAATCTGTAAATAAACTTAATTAATATTCAGAACTTATCGCTGTTGACCAAATTAAATGTGGATTTCACTGTTCATGCTGGTATTTGCCTAACAAACAATGCAGTCGCCATGTACTGGATGTGGCTGTCAGATAAATATTCAACATGCAGCTGCTACCTACCCGACCCTTGTAGGTTACACGGTTTATGTCAGTGCAGGGCAGGCAGAGCAATTTGCCATGAGACTGTTGTGTTACTGTTTCATGAGAAAAGACTTCTCTGGCTCCAAAATTTAATCTGTAAAAGATTAGATTGAATAGTTTATTATTAAAGAAACATTTTTGTATCTATAGGTAAAGAAAGACACTGTTATATTTTGTTAGTTACCTACTTAAAATTTAATTTATCAAAAAACCCGATGTGTACTTCGTAAAAATTGTTAGTTGCTAATAATAGAGGCTCGATTGTTCTTAGGAACTAGCTGAAGGTTGCTGGTTCTATCCTGAGAAACATTAAACATTTTGATAGTTTCTAAACTGTACGAAACTATTCTTGATCTTTGGGGTTTTACAGAAACAGCAAATCTTGTTTTGGAAAAAAACTGTCATTCTTTGAACACTCATTCTTCACTCATTCTCATATAGCCACCCTAGGATGTTGGAATCGTCCAATCTTATCAACTCTAGGGCTTTCTTGAAGTGATTGTTGTGTTTCAAGAGGTGTAGAGTGCTCAAGTAGCTATATGGCATGTATCCTCTTCATCTTTCAATATATTAGGACCATAATCTGTTCAGCAAAGGTTAAATACTTCACCAAAGACCAACAAAGTAGGGTTGCACTATTGAGGTCCTTGCTGATATCTTTGGATGATATATTCCACCCTCTTGCGGATTCTTCTCAGGCCCTCATCAGACCACTCCCCAGTAGTGTCCAGCTGACATTTTCAGACCGACAGGTTTATTCTTGTCCGTTATTCTCGTCCGTGTCCCGTCACGAAAGTTGGATGTGGACCAACTGTCAGTCATACTGAGGAAAACTCACACTAATGTAAACAACTTTGCGGGTATTTATTTAAAGTTTGCTTCAACTTTTACTTCAAGATTCGATTTCATGAAGACTTAATTTGAGTGGTGTATCACATAATGATGAGTCAATGAGTAACTGATTTTTTATTGTAAGTGTAGCAATTTATCAGTGGTTAGTTTCTCGGACTTTGGTGCACGATAAGTTTT